GTTATTTTTGTTATAAGAAAAAAGTTATTAAACCTGTTATACTGTATTATGACAGCACTTTTTTTAAACTAAATTTCAACATCGTGATAATAACGCATACCGTGATAAAAGCATTAGCAATTAACTGCAACATGAAAAATTGATACCGGCATATCCCTAATATATATATATATATATATATATATATATAAACATTTTCAAGTTGTTAAAAAAGACTCTTGGAGTAAGTTTGACAAGAAAATACTATTTGTGAAATTTACTAGCAATGTCTGAATGAAAATTGTTTTTCATTTTTTTTATCCATTCCAAACTAAATTAATGTTACTAATTTAATTTCACTTCATAGTGTTGATTGTAACTGAAGAGTCGCAGTAGTGACAGCGCAGTAGAAATGTTAGGAACAGAGATGTTTTCGCTTTTAATTACTGTTAAATTAAGCTTTTTTCTTTTCATTTGACTGTAAGAAGTGTTTACCTTGATTCTGATCTCCATGTTTCTGTGCAATTTAACAATTTATTTCAAAGAAACATGGCAGATAAAAATATTTGAAGTGCTCGATTCATTCAAGCCCACACAACAATAAAAGCTAATCCATTTTATCCACTTTATGAACACTTTTCCTGAAAGTCACACTCTCCAGTTCATTCTGATCATTCATAGGATGTTCTATAAACATTTTTTTGAGTTAGCAGCAGTAACTAAAGTGGCCAGATCTAAATTAAATGCATAATGTGCTCAAAAAAATGTTATTTTCAATTTTTGCTTTGTTACTTTCTGTTTGTTTTTGCTTTTTTCTTTTTAAGTGCATGTGCATGTGTGTGTTGTAATAACTCCCTAGCTGTACAGGAGTTGCATCACTCCCAGCACTGATACTCTATAGGGGGAGCTGTGCTGAACAACAGCCACTGCTCTTCTCCTCGGGGTCTGATGATGCAAAGCATTGCCGAGTTTGCCTCAGTGCAGCTTTCCTCATCCTTACCAGACTTAAGGGTTTGTCCGCCCCACATGTCATCCGTCACAACCCCACTTTGTCCAGTCTGATAAAGGGCCGACCACCCTGCCCACTAGCCCTCTCCTCACTAATGACCGAAGACAGCTGTTCCCTTGGGCCCTTCTCATCGCCTCTGGACACTGGCACTCACTGCTGTCACATGTATCAGCTCTGACTGACATCTGCCTCCCAGCACTCGAACAACCCTGATCTCCATTAGATTAGGCACTGCTTATTTCAATAATTCATCACTTAGACAGCATTTGTTTCTCCAGGCTTAGCAGCAGAAGTTTAAGAATTGTCCATTGAGTGTGTGAGTTTCTGTCGCTGATGCTTGTGTGTGATATTAACATAATATGTTCCAAATGACAATATTCTGTGTTTTTAGAGACAAATATTAATAAAGAGGTTGCTGATAATCTCATCCTGCAAGGCCGCAGATTCATAAACTCATTACCGCTGAGACCTGCTGTGCAAAACTCTGGGCAATATGGTGTGTCTGTGACCAAATTTAGTGCACTAACTTCAAAGGCTTCAGTTAAATTTAGTAATCCCTATTTATGGATTAGAAGTGCCTCACATTCTGCAATGCTGAGAAAATAAACTGCTCAAGAGGGAAAAACAACACGTCCTTGTTAACATATGAGACAATGTGAGAGCGCAGACTAATAAATCGCATTTTGTTATGCCAGTGATTCAGACAGACAGACAGAAAGAAGTAGGAAATATGGTGCGAGCTGATTGGAACGCGCCAGGTGTTGTCATGCGGAGAGGCACATTCTCATTGGATGAAACTCATCCCTCTTTGATCCCTGGCAAGGCTGCAGAGTTCTTAAGATTTGAGACATGGGAAGGCGCATTGGTGGGAGGATGTTCTATGGAGGAGAGGGGAGCAAGCTTTAGAGAAAGAAGGAAAAATGGAGGAGAGGGTGAAAAAAGTAGGGCACTTTTGTTCTGTTCACGACACCAGTT